TAAGGGCAAGGGGCGATTGCCCCAAAAAATTCGCCCCCAAATCCTCCAACAAGCAATAACAATAAAAATGATAATGATACATGACTGTAATTATAAACATAATAATGATTATTAATGATATATTGATAATAATAAAAATGATGATGACAATAATGATATTAATGATAATAATAATATTAATGATAATAATAATAATAATAATAATAACAATAACAATAATATGCCTAATTATAATGATAGTACTTCTGCTACTAATTTCAATTATAAAAATGATAATAATAGCATTATTATTGTCATCATCATGATCATCATCGTGTATAAATTATGATTCGTTATTCTTCTCTTTCTTCTTTTCCTCTTTTTCATAATAAATAGTAGTAATAAACTGTCACTTATATAGCGCATAATCAATTGAAACTGCTCTGTGCGCTTTACGTACTGCTCTCCAAGATTACTTAACTACAATACAAACAAATATGTCTGTTCCACAGTTTTTGACCATGCACAGATATCAAAGCCAGCTTCACCCTTCTTCGAATTAACTCTAGGAACTTGTAAAATTCTTCTTCTTCTTCTTCTTCTTCTTCTTCTTCTTCTTCTTCTTTTTAAATTTCATATGATGATGATGATTATTATTGTTATTATTATTATTATTAACAATATTACTATCATTATTATCATAACAATTGTTATTATTGATGTTATTATTATTAATTTTTTTAAAATTATTATTATCATTATAATAGTAATTATTATTATTATTATTATTATTATTATTATTATTATTATTATTATAATCATTATTACAATTATTATTATTATTATTATTATTATTATTATCATATACCTTCCAAGCTCTGAGCATATCGGTGCATCTGCGGCCACGGCGGCCTCTCTGTACACATAATATCCACTACCGGTAGGAGCTGCATCGTCTTCGGGTCCGGTTAGTAGGATACCCAGGTAGATTCCACCTGCCACGGCTCCGGCGAGCAGTGCGACCACTACCAGACCAGCGAATTTTCTGTTTAAAGCATGATACCAAAAAAAGAAAAAGATGTTTATTAGGTAGTTTTCTTTTTCTTTTTCACCATCTTCTTTATCTTCTTCCTCTTCTAATACCTAATTCCCAAATTTTAACTTATCCTGCAGCAGAGAACTCGCTCATGAGTATATACGGAGCGGGAGCGGGAGGGGAGGGGGGGTACGGCTAGGCCAACTGCTAACACCTGTTCCGGTATTAGCGCTTCTTCTCCTTCTTCTTCCTCTCCTTCTTCTTCTTCTTCTTCTTCTTTTCTTCTTCTTCTTCTTCTTCTTCTTCTTCTTCTTCTTCTTCTTCTCCTGCTTCTTCTGCTCCTTCTTCTTCTTCTTCTTCTTCTTCTTCTTCTTCTTCGTCTTCTTCTCCTCTTTCTTCTTCTTCTTCTTCTTCTTCTTCTCCTGCTTCTTCTTCTTCTCTTTCTTTTCCTCCTGTTTTTCTTCTCCTTCTCCTTCTGCTTATTCTTCTTCTTCTTCTTCTTCTTCTTCGTCTTCTTCTCCTCTTTCTTCTTCTTCTTCTTCTTCTTCTTCTTCTTCGTCTTCTTCTCCTCTTTCTTCTTCTTCTTCTTCTTCTTCTTCTTCTTCTTCGTCTTCTTCTCCTCTTTCTTTCTTCTTCTTCTTCTTCTTCTTCTTCTTCTTCTTCTTCTTCTTCTTCTTCTTCTTCTCCTGCTTCTTCTTCTTCTCTTTCTTTTCCTCCTTTTTTTCCTTCTCCTTCTCCTTCTGCTTATTCTCTGTCTTCTAAATTCTTATATCAGTCAACTCCATGCTCGCTCTAGCCTTGACCATACTCTTTGCTAATTCATTCTAAATTTCTTTTCTTCAGACCCGGGTAGAGAGGGGCCTATTTTCAGACTGAGACTACCGTATAACAAAACTGCGAAATGTGAGAGCACGGCCAAAAGTATGCATCAAATCAACAGGAAATGACTTTACAATAAACTGAACATTATTATTCCACCATTTTCAGGGACATACACGCAAGCGCGGATCCAGCATTTCGTAGGGGTGGGGGCCCAAATTTGAAATCAATTTCAAATTTAGTTCGCTGAAAATTTGAAAATCGTGCCGGCCAATATTTCACTAATTTTTAATTTTTTTTTGGCCCTCAAAAATTTGAAAATGCACACCCCCCCCCCTCCTTAAGCGCCAGGGGGGGGGGGGGGCATCTCCCAAAAAAGGGTAAAATTTACGTGTTTTTACACGTTTTTTTCCCTGGATCCGCCACTGCATACATCCCCCCCGCCCCTGGCCACACGGTACTGGCATGACGGGACTGCTTTAGACTAACAGTGATGTAGATACCACATTAAATCAATTTCAAGATACGCCACTTCCAGTTGGATCATAAATAAACTAAAGTAATTTTTTGTTAAGACACGAACTTCCAAAGATATCAATAGATTATCATAGATATTACTTTTTTCTCATACACTGTAAAGTGCAATCACAATAATAATGTAGTATCTTCGTGTAATATATGCCAATGAAAGGTATTAATGGGTTTCTCCCCTCCCCCCCCCCCGGAATTTTTTTTTTTTCCATCCGTTTGTTGCTCTTCTAGGTATAGTACGTAAATATCGTAATCATAGTTCAAGATTCATGAAACAACTTTATGATTGTACAAGCCTATAACTGAAATTATGCAAACAGATCTATCTAAGTCTCTTCCTCCCCTAATCCCACCCTTCTCTCTCTCTCTCTCTCCCTCTCTCTCTCTCTCTCTCTCTCTCTCTGTCTCTCTGTCTCTGTCTCTCTATACCTCTCTTTCCCGCTATAAGTAGGCCTAAAAGTAAATAGTACATATTTTGTTTGAACGGGCGTATCCCATTGTAGAGTACGAACGATGAACAACATTCAAAGTTTTTGTTATGAATACGTTTTAACCGTGACACATTTCCAAAGTCTGCCTTTGTAGTTCAATCGTCCGTATTCATTAAACTTCTTCTTTATTACCATTATAATTTCCTCTTTAGGGTATTTAGGTCTCATTTGCAGGGACGATGTTTGGGGCGGGTTACGATTCCCCCCCCCTTCATGCCCCCCCCCCCCTCCCCATGGAATGTATTGATTTACAATTTCAGCTTCAGTAGCAATATTTTACCTTGATTTCTTTTTTTTCCTCACAATATCTTAACATATTTTTTTTAAATAAAAAACATTTTTTGTAGCAAGAATAATCATGAAATTGGTTTTCAGCTGAATTGCTAAAAATAAAGTATATTATCACTGACTACAATTTGAAAATATTTCTTTGCTGCTTTTGTTATACAGGAAAGCAATTTTCACTGCAATCTAACTTCTTAAACAAATGATAATTTCGGTTCTATGACAATTACCCCCTGGGTAATCACCCCTGGACAATTACCAGCGAGATAATTACTTCCCAAGGACAATTATCCCCCCCTCCCCGAAAATCACCCCCCGAAAAATTACCTCTAGGACAATTAATAATAATTACCACTCGTGGACAATTATTACCCCCCAAAAATTGTTTAACCTTTATTAAAACCAACTTATTATCAGGGTGGACTTCCCCTTTAATGAACAGGTGGGTAATTTTCGGGGGGGGGGGGGTAGGGTAATTGTCATGGGGGTAATTTTTCGGGGGATATTGTCCTCGGGGTGGTTGTCCCCCGGGGGGGGGGGGTAATTTTTCAGGGGGGGGTGATTGTCCAGGGGGTAATTGTCCTGATATGTATCATTTCTAACAAAATTGCAGATCTCAAAATCACACTATGTGTTAACTTGAACAGAACATAGTTATCCCCAATTCATCTGGGCACATTACAAATCAACAGACCTCTTTATACAAAGGGGGGATAATAATTTTTATGATCCCCCTTCCTGATAGAGGAAAGTTTATCAGCTTATGCAAATTTGGATGTAGGCCTTTGTGAGACTGTACAATTGAGCATGACGTCATCACTCGTTAGATCGGTGCTCGTATTTAACGTATAAAAAATGAATTCTGTTATAGACATAGCCGGACGCATGGGTTTATAAAAAATTATATTTCACGGAATTTTTTAAAACTAGTTATTCAATAACATATTCGAATATATCTGTTGTCCACAGGTTAGAGTGGTGTAATTTTATACAATATTTCGGCCTTTTTTTTTCTCTTTTCATACAAAGTTTCTTGTCTTTTTGTCCCCATTTTTCCTTTGTTATTAAAAACAAGATTTAGAGTATAGTTAACCTGATTACTACACTTTTCACAAATGTAAAGATCATTAAGATTCATTGTCATTTGCTAACGTTATATGGCAGGCTTGCTGCGACACTCTCCCCCACTTTCCCAGCGGTTTAACGTAAACAACGTGTTTATTCAACAGAAAAGCATGGTCAAATCACAACGAAATCGTGAGTTAATTACACCGCTCTTCACGTAAACAAGGTGTTTATTCAACAGAAAAGCATGGTCAAATCAAAACGAAACAGTGATGTAATTCATGGACCTTATAGTCCAAGGAGGATATCTTTGGTAAGCAGCGCTCAAAATACACGGGGGCGGTGGGCGATTCGCCCCCGTCAGGTTGCTCACGGGGGCGATTGCAAAATTAAAAATCGCCCCCGTGGAATTATAAAATAAAGATTATCTTTTCTGTTATAACTTTAACACAATATTGAGTTTCAATTTTCAAACCTTAAACCAATGAAATTGAACTTAGATTAGCGTGCAAGATAGGCCTAGTTATTACCGATTCAGCTCGCAGTGCAGTGCTGCCGTCATCAGTGGTTATAGGCCTACTGCGCCGTTAGTAGCGGTACGTGTGCACGCTGCCGCGCCATGTCTGCTGGAGCTGGAGGCGATCGCGCAAGGGCAGAAACATGGTCATGGAGAAGTTTTTCGTTGTGAAAGCGTTAACCCGCTGAAATCTGGTGATTTCAAATGACCAGCAAATAATGAAACTCGACCAGTAAATCAATATTAGGGACTTTTAGATTTGCACGATGAGAACGTGGACTGCAACGTGTGACCTCCTTTTAAGGCAGTGCCAGTGCTTTATAAAAGGACGTGACGCCTTAAAAGGACGTAACACGTCCACGTCCACGCAAATCTAAAAGTCCGTATTGAGAAGAAGAGGAAGACCAAGATGTCGTGGAATGATATGGTAACATGGGCAGATCTAGGGGGTGTTAGGGGGTTTAACCCCCCCCCCCCTCCCGGCCCCCTTGGGCTGCCAAGTGAAAATGTGACATTAAAGCGGGGGGGGGGGGGAGATGCTGGAGAGGAGATCTACTAATCTATTTTATTTTTTTCAGGGGGGGGGGGAAGTGAAGCGCCGTTTTAGCATGACTTTCTTTTTAACTCTTACTTTCACCTATCTCAGATAACCCTAAGTTTTTGGTTGCTGCTTTATATGTAGTTGATAATGCATGATTAAAATAAAGAGAGAGAGAACCACCATCATTTTGCAATGGTTCAGAGTTCGTGTAATGTACATTTGAAACCATTTCTTAGCGTCTCAACCCTAAAAAAATAGCAAAACAATTTTTAAGGAAAAGCATTATACTGAATTAAATAAAGATTAATAGCTTTATATTGGATCAAACTAATACTGATACGGGCTAAAGACAATGTGGTATTTGTATAGAGGTATTTCAAAATGACATTCTGATAATCAACATATTTTGTTCTGGTATCATAATTATATACGCATAATACAACTGATCTTTATTTCTTAACGTGACATAGCTTCTTCTCCCCCTGCAAACAAAAAAGAAAACAAGGTTATTTAATAAAAGGATCATGTGACAAATAATCATTGTGATTCAAATTGATGCAAGGATTTTTTTTTGAATAAGCAATGCTTTTCACCAGAATCTTCTTTGTAAAAACGACTTTTACAAATCTCAGCCATGCAAATCTGCCACTGTGTTGTAAGATCACTTTCAGATTAGGAGAAGTGTATTCTATAATGAGTATTTTACATTGAATGGAACGTCACAACTCAGAAAGCATGGATGAGATTTGTAAAAGTTGTTTTTACAAAGAAGATTCGGGTGAATAGCAGTGCTTATTCAAACAAATATTCGCATCGATTTGAATCACAATCATTATTTGTCGCTTAATCCCTTTTAATGACCTTGTTTTCTTTCTCGTTTGCAAGGGGAGAAGAAGATATGTCACATTAAAGACATCATAAAGATCAGTGTTGTATGCGTATATATTATATACACAGGCCAGTAACAGCTATGTAGCTTGTAATTTTGTAAGAGGGAAAATGCTGATTGAAATGATAATGATGAAATAGCAAATAATTGAGGAGTATCGTAAGTACCAATTCAATGGATATTTGTATAAAAAAGAGCCCCCGTCAGTACTAAAAGAGCCCCCGTGAGAAGGTTCACGGGAGGCTCTTTTTTTTGGGGGGGGGGGGGGGGGAGAGCCCCCGTGGACAAAAAATTAATTTGAGCCCTGTTGGTAAGTCCATGGTTAATTGCACCGCTCCTCACCGCCTGAGTATTAAAAGGCAGAGTAAACCCATCCTCAGGGTGGACTCTTCCTTAAAATGTCTGATTTTATAATTAAATTAGATTGACCTGATGAAAAACATAATTGCGATTTGAAACATAATAACTTTTAAAGATTAAAAATGACTACTAAGAATTGCAAAGATATTTTTTTCAACTTAAATTGTCTTAATGGTGCAGATTGTTTCAGACTGTCATCTATAAAGCAGACCATGTAATGTAACCCTGATACTTAACACTTCCTTGGCCAGTAGCAGTTCTGTTATAAATGCTATGCAACTTCTTGGAGTTTAGGGTGTTATTAAATATATCGACTGCTATGAGAGGCAAACAGCCAGGCCTCGAATATTAAAGCAGTCGATATTATGTTTTATATACCGAATTGACACAAAAATCTACCAAGCATTCTTACCTTATCCTTTTCTTGAGTAAAGCTTGGTTAAAACATCACAGAAAATCTGAGACCCTGTCTGTTAATCTTCTCTGGAAAGATAACTGAATGTTACAATTATTTGGGAATCGCAGACAAAAAACACTGTGAGGTATCCGTGCTCGCACAAAGTAACTTTTAACACGTAAACCAATGGGGATCTCATCAAAACTATTTTCCCGGTACCCGAAATATTTCGGGAATCTCACTCAAGAAGTATTGGCCGTTACTGGCACTGTTCGTTTCTTTACGGGAATGGCTAAAATCAAGACTCCAAGTTCGACCAATCAGATGGCTAGATTTCTAAAGAGAGGTATATAACAATGTACATCACTGTTGCATCTAAACCAGTTTTGAAGTCAGTTTGGTGAGTCCCTATTCAGACCTGTACATAAATTCTCCCAGTTGTAACGTACTCAATATTCATATATACACTCAAAACCCTGAATTGTTTAAATAGATTGCTTCTTTTTTTTCAATCTACCATATTCTATAAATTAGTGATAGATCTGATATTCATTTAATATATTCAGTATATAGGTAACTAGATTAGTACTGGTAGTCCCCCTGTATATTGTACATTTTATTCGCCTTCCCCATTTCCATTTCTATTTTTATTTATATCTATATTTCTGTTCTACCCTATTTTATCATTAATCTATACTTCTTTTCAAATCTGTTTTGTTGTCGTTCCTGTAAAGGTAACATAGCTGTGCTTTTTCACAGAACACCTCTTTTCCACATTTAAAATGACGCAAATAATATTTCAATATCTTGCAAAGCGATTGCGGACATTGTACAAGAATCATGTCGGAGTCTTCCTTTTAATCAACTTAGTTAACGTGAGGCGTGATGGCTCAGAGCAGGGCCCCGTCTAACAAAGAGTTGCGATTGATCCGAATCAATCGCAAGTCCTCCAATCAATCGCAAGTTTGCAGTCTCCTGTCTCTTATGTGCATAGTTGCGATTGATATCAATCGCAAAAAAGTTACGATTGATATCAACTCTTTGTAAGACCGGCACCAGGGGTCTCGTAATTGGGAGGTCCCAGGTTGAAAACTAATTCGATGCGCTATAGAGCCCTTTGATAAGACATTATCCTCATCAAGTCCTTCGGAAAGTGACATCCGTGTCCCATGGTTGCTTATTTACAAGCATACACATGCTTTCTAAGGAGTCAGGTCAAACAAACACACCAACTTTGTTACCCGTGATTAGCTCATTTGCTAGATATCAAGTTACTTCTACTAATCACAAATTTTTATAAAAAAATGGAAACGTATCGAAAATAAAACTTACTTGGGATATGTTTTCTTATCATAACTACCAACTAGATGTTGCTCCTCAAGACTAAAACTCCTTTTGGAATCCATCATGATCGAGCCGGGATCATGAGATTCAACGATGTTCGTGGTGACCAGCGTTTGACACGTATGCAACCGTTTTGGATGATGTGAAACACTGTACCTGAGTACCGTCGTTTGATATATTTGGTTTTATTCAGGGGCGCTCGTGCCTGCAGAGGGTGACCGGGGTATAAATTTTCGGAAGGTCGAAAAATGACAAATTCAAAGAGAGACTTCACTATCTATTTTTGCAGGGAAGAGAGAGAGAGAGGGGTTACACATACAAATCTAGAGAAAAGATGATTTAAACAACATGTTACAAAAAATTGGACCCTCATACCCTACCTAAAAAGAAAATGGTCTAACTACGCCTCTATGCAGTGAATCTTTATTACGGACGGGGTACAAGGTTTATTTACTGAGAACTATAATAGACCCTCCGAGCAAATATTTTGTCTCACATAAAAGAAGGTCTATTTATGAGTGTTTGCTAGAGAAAACGCTGAATATATTGCTCAGTCTTTAATTATTATATTCTGGAGGCGTATCTTTAACGAATAGCGTAAAGCCATGGGTCACACCCCCCCCCCCCCCCCACCCCATTAAATGGCTGGGGTGGGGAAGGTCATAAGCGAGAAAATGAGAAAGGGTGAAAAAGAAGTACAACGTGAATAGGAGACGATACGATCCCCCTCCCATCGAATGGCGGGGGGGGGGGGGAGCCAGCTTAGGGGGACATGAGGATCTACGCCCCCCCCCCCCGTTTATACCAGGAAAGATTGTTACTAGATACACTTATCTTGGCAAGTTGCTAGATAGCATTATAAACAGTTTACGAAAAAGGTTTAGCCTACTTATGCTAGACGGAAAATACCAAAATATTTTTAAAACTCCATCGATATACTTTTCTTTCTGAAAGCGGAAACAATTATTAGAAAACAAAACAAATATCAGGGGAAAGTTACGAAATCAAGCGTGATATCGCTCGGCAATCTCTCACGGGCAGGGAGGCATTATAATCATTTGCAATGTCAAACAGAATTTTTCTGGATTTTGTTTCCTACGAAAACTAAACGGAAGGCACCTTTTTTAATTCTCATTTTCGAGCTGAATGATAAATTGGAAAATTAAAAAAAAAAGTATGTTGTGCCTTGATATTATTATTAAGTCGTTTTTCCCAATATAAATAATACAAGCATGGGTTCATGCTGTAAGTTCGTTACGTTTTATAATCTCCCTCATAGAACATTTTTGTATAATGTTTATTATGTCATTAATGTATTTAATTAACATTATGTATATCGTGTATGTTTTGTTGTTATATATTTTTATGGAAATGTGGAACTAAATGGGTTAATTCAATTCAAGAAGAAAACTCCCCGTGTCTTTATAGTCTGCTCTAATTTTTCGAAAATGCATATTCCTTTTCCGATTTATCTCAAACTTTCAAAATTATTTCTCTCTATTTTTCAATTTTTTTTACTAAGGGCATATTAATTTATTCGAATTGGTAATTCCTCATTAACAAAAGGCATATCTAACTATTCTTACTCCATGTATATGGTACACTCTTATTTCCACGGAGTCAAATTTCACTCTAAATGGCGTCAGCTGGGAGTTAACTCTATTCCTAGTTAAAGTGACACGGATTCCGAATCAATTTGACTAGGATTGTGTGGCATCAGCTGAGAATTGACTCAATTCAGAGTCAAGATGACTCCTTTTCCGTGTCACTTTAACTAGGAATATAGTTGACTCCCAGCTGACGCCATTCAGAGTGAAATTTGACTCCGTGGAAATAAGAGTGTATGATACGATATTCTACTTGAAGTTACATCCGAAAACCAGTCATTAAATATTTAGTCTATTTGTAAGCAGGTCTGCACGATTACACAAAGTTAGACAGATAACCGAAACAAAATGAAAGAAAAACGAAACGGTGAGCCTCTTTGTTCTCCGTTTAGATCATGCATTTATCTTTGTCCCAATCCCCCCCCCCCCCCCCCCCTCACTACCACCACTGCAATCTCCGTTAGTGGCAGAAAATGCAATTGTGTCTCGTGCATATTTCGAGCGGATATCAGCAATTTGCATAAATCTTCAAGAAATCTACATGTAAAGAGGCAATTAAGACGGAGGAACAAAGGACAAAGAATCAAAATGAGTCTCATCCTGCAAATTTTGTGCTCATACACTCATGACCTCCGAGCACAAGGGGAACCCCTCGGTGTATAACTTTGTTTACAAAATATAATGACGTCATAGTATGAATTGCAGACGCGCACTAATATTTCACTTAATTACTTGTTTTCAAAACTTTTTCTTGCTCATTTATTTTAAATGAAGAACACAAATGCACACATCTTACATCGTTTTTGATAATATTGAATCAAATTTTTATTTACACTATTGTGTTATTGCAACAATAAGAGAGTTATTATTTCATACGCGTATGAAGTCAAAACCGTAGCACTCACAGTCGTATACACAGGGCATGTTATTGTCTGAGCTGCCATATTGCTGTACTGTGTGTATACATAACTTCCCGATTGCCGATTCTGCAGTGTGTGAATTTGCCACGAACGAAGTCTCGAACGACCTGATAAATCTAGAATATCTTCACAACATGAATAGATTAACATGTCTACTTTAAGCAGTCGACAAACAGACTAAATTTCCCGCGAGTCTGTTTTGAGTATGCTGTCGTTGTTTGACATTTGCAGCTGAAATTCTACGTCGTAGAGGCGAGCTAGTTTGATCTCATAATGGGGAACTGTCTGCAGGGTCAAACAGCTGACGATATTTCGTTGCTTCACGACGATGCTGAAGTTCATGAGCGCCTGGGACCCCCACCACCGTATCAGGTTAGATTAAAAATAAATATTTCTTTATCGAGCGTCCAAAAACATGCTTGCATTATCTCACGCTATAGATAATAATCATGATCAAACTGTAAAGGTTTATAAATCGTAGTCAATAATGTTCATGTCAGTTTTTTTAGTTTCCAATGAGACCCCAAGCTAAATGTAGGCCCATGGGCCATTGCATTAAACATCATCTTCCTATGTATGTTATTATTATGTTTTGAAAACCATTTATTTACTAAGCTTGTAGAACCAGAGGTTACCATTTTATTTGCCAAATAGGCCAGGGTCTACTTAAGATTATCACGTAATTTAAGTAGCTTACTTAAAGAGGTTACCATTTAATTTGCCAAATAGGCCAGGGTCTAGAATCTACTTAAGATTATCACGTAATTTAAGTAGCTTACTTTTTACGCAACTACCAAGATATCAGATTCTAATGAAATGGGTACATGTATCTTGATCTGAGAATGTGAGTGACAGAGTGTATTGCTTTTGTCTGTGGATGTTGATTGATAACGTCCTGCTGGTACCCTGTGACGTGTGCGCGTGCTTGCATGGGTAGCCTGTGACTGACCACCATTTATTCAACCTCAGTTACAGACAGCATGAGACACATTTATCCGCCTGAAAAAAGAAACCAGAGCTCACGTGTGAAATGAAACCACAATCTTAGTGTTAGAAAATCATGCATGCACCCATGCCATGCTAAACAAAAATTACTGTATTATTGCGATCTACATGTACATATGTACAAGCACTGGTCCTTTCAGCACCAAATGCTTCCATAAAATTAATATATGCGTCCACCCACCATGCGATCAAAAATAGTTCAGGTTCACTTTTTGAACGAAGCACTACTCAATGAAACGACCGGAAGTTTCAACAGGATCACCTCACACCTCCGTATAGTATACTGATGCTGATTAATATTTCTAAAAATCTCCTTGTATGAAACTATAATTGAATTGAAAACAATTTGTACTCAAAATCTGATAATGACCAAGTCACTTTTCATGAGACAGTACAAGTGAGTTGATGAAGGTTGGGGCATTTATAATTCAATTTAATTCCACTTACTGAAAAACGGCAAAATTCAATGATGAAAAAAGGGCTGTTTCCTTTTCTGTTTTGGGAATTTACATGTATTCAAAGAGATTCAAAGGAAATAAGGAAGTTGTGCAGACTTCCAGTTTTTCCATTGTTAATGACACAGGTCATAAAGGTTAATATGCTGAATAGAATCATTGTGTCACTCAGACTGTCAATCTCCTCAATAAATCCTGCTTCAATAATGATCCACGATGATGATGATGATGATCCACAGCACTTTTGGTGCCATTTATCTTTTTCGGAAACGGAAAGACTTTCTTTTGTGACAGCCAACTACAGTACATGTACATGTATATGTAAAATCTAACCCTACACCCTATCCCTAACCATAACCCTAGCTAACCCTATTTTATCATGTATATAACATATTATTAGATATATTATTCTAAGCTGTACCCATATTTTATTTCTCCAATTTGGGTGGCTGTCGCAAAAGGAAGTCTAACCCGCTCCTCCAATAGTCATGGACTTCATATTTGCTTGAAAAGATGGGTAATCACAAGAAAAGACTTTAAGAGAATTAAATGTTCATGTACCATGCACAATGTGCCTTCATGTGCATTTGGGGGATGAACAAAGAAGTTCCCATATCGATGAGTCATGGGTGCTGTAAAAAAAAGTTGTCTGGAGCTGCACAATGTATGATGTTTATCTTTAACATACACCTGTACATGCTTTTGGTGGTCTTTTTATGACCAAACAAAATTAAATAAATCACTGTGATCAATATTGATCCTGGCAATGTGGCAGCCTTTCTTTCTTCTGTTTTGATCTAAACAACATACCGGTACCGGTACTTCATGTATGACTAATGTAAGATGTGACAAAGAAACTAATGTTGCTACCCCCTTTTTGATACAGCTTTGAATAATGGTGAATCATAATACTTGGCAGTTAATACAATGGCAAATGAATTACTTTTGCTTACTTTCATATCTTCTTTTGTATTTTTTTTCCTAGGAGGAAGCTCCCGTTTACCATGTGACACCAAACCAGAGAAGATCAGCCAGTCAACTGACCGAAGAAGAACAAATCCGAATTGCCAAACGAATTGGCCTTATACAGCACTTGCCCATAGGGCAATATGATGGTAGCAAAAAGGCTAGAGAGTGAGTACAGTAGATTCTCTGTATAAATTAATAGTGCAGTATTTGTCATGATCCTTCTCACAAATAACTTACAATTTTAAATACAAATATAAACGGTCCAGACTAAATTCTGATTGTATGACCTATGCTCCAGCCATAGTTACTACCGGTAGACAGATTCCTAACTTGACTCTAGACCTGCAAAAAGTAGATTAAGAAAATGAAAAGAAAAAAAATCCTTGTCAGACTGTGCAAATCTGTGCTAACTGTCTGTCTGTAAGACTGTGACACATAACAGTAAAGTTATTTTAAGCCCAGGACAGAATATAACCAAACTTGATGGTACATGCTTACTATCAGTCACAGGAACAGACATCTTCTCAATAGTTGCAAAAAAATAAATTAATCCAAAATTAAATATTGGGTGGAGTTTAAAGAATACTGCTAAATTTGGCACTTCCATTCATGTGCATTAAGTAGTTTATCAGAGTGCTACAATGATCCTGTCCCAGAGCTATAAATCCATGCGAGGGCAGCAGTTGTATAATTTGTTCTGAACTTCTGAGCTACTGAAATGCTCTCTACAGAGAATGGCCCCTCAATTTTTCACATGGACAATTCTTTTCATTCATTGCACTGGTTGGTATCCCACTGAGGGAAGAATGGTTACTTTCATACTTTATACAGCAAACATTGTACATTTACATGTACATGAACATGTGGTCTACATGTACATGTACATGTATTTGTATGTGGATCATGTCATTTTTCAGGGTAAAACCAGTAGATAGTAGTGTATTACAGAAGGACTGTAATCATTGCTTAAATTTAGATGTGAATTGAACTTATTGAAGTATTAGTCATCGCATTAATCTAAATTTGGAAATTGTAAAGGTTATTATGAAATGCATCACATTTTGCTGACTCACTATTGGGCAAACACAATAACATTTTCCTATACGTACATGTAGATAGGACAAAACACATTGCACCCTGTATTTAAAGGTGTAAGTCATAGTTGAGTGGTTTAAACGTTAGACTTGAAAAGTTGAAATACAAAGGTCGTGATTTGGTTCCCCGACACAGCACCAAAGGTGTTTGACAAGGCATTATTCTACATTTACCACTCCATACCCATGAAATAAATGGGGACCTACATGTACATGTACCATTATCATCAAAAACATTTCGGGGCTACTTTTCAAGCTTTCTTGCATGAAAATAACACTCTTTAATTTGTTTTGCATTAACTCTATGCATATTTTGGGGGGCTCTTGTATGACTTTCGGGGGCTAATTCACCCACGAGCCTCAGTGTATTTTTTTCCCTGCAGGTAGGATGACGAAAGCCTTTGCATTAGTAATTGCCATATGTCATCATGGTAACCATATGGTAGTAATACTCCCCAGGGAGTGGTGATGGTGCATAATATTGGGTGTGAATGAATCCAATGACCGGGGAAATAATATCTGTTAAAGCGCTAGTTGCATTCCCATCACAATGGACACATTATACAGAGCAAATCGTGAAGTTCAGTCTCTCATACAGACATTGTAATATGTGTATGTGTGTGTTTGTGTAATTGGGTTTTTACAGACGTGTTCAGATATGATTACTTACGTCTGGAGACCGACCTTTTAACGTCACCATTCGAAAGACGTGCCTCAGTTTCGAACCTGCGTCCTTGGCTATATCAGTTTGTAACTTCCATTGTTAGCCGGATTACAGGCGCAAGCCACAACGCCCCGTAGTTGATAATGATGTACCTATACACTGTAGCCTTGTTAAAAGCAGGATATTTGCCCTGTGTCCCACGGGCAACTGATAATGGGCAAGGGCATGTTCCGCCATAATTGATGGCACAAATGTAGGGTACAGTAAAATACACATTACACATACATGTAGTAGGCATTTACATGTTATATCAACAGTAAAGTGCAAGGAAGTAGATGTATTTGAAGGTAGTTAACGTTGAACTTTACTGGTTTATGTTAGACAGAGACTCACAGGGACTGAGGATTAAGGGACAATAGTTATTGAATTTTTCCTTTTTGCATAAAATACTCTATTTTTAATGACAACAATACATTTTACCCTGCAAACCCCAAAATTATGTAGCCGAGCCAAAAATGCATTAATGGCATAGGGTGAAGATTATATGATATCCCAAATTCCTGAAGGATGTCTTTCTAATATGTACACATGTACATGTACTGTACATGTAAGTGCACTAGCCTGTGTGCCCTTTGCCAAATAAAGTAACTTCATTGATTTTTGGCAAACCATTGAGGTCATTGTGGCTTTAAATTTTTAATCCGTAGTTTAATTTAAGGTTAAAGTAGGTATCAGGTATTGAGGTACAACATGTACAGCAGTACAGGGGTCCACAAAACAGTACATGTATGTTGTAGTCTTGTAGAAATTGACCACACACTTACATGTATTATTGGTTTGTTTGACAAGAAACTTTCTATGAGGGATATACTGTAATAGTAATTAAACTTCTCTGCTTTACTGTACTGTGGTTTTACATAAAAAATTGTTCAAAATGTTTAAATAATAAATGTTCATGTTCATGTAAATGATGCTTCTTGCAGAGAAAATATTGAAAATCTTTCCAATTGGTTGGATTAAACATTCAATTTTTATTAAGGAAAGGGGAAAGAATTTTAGAGTCCTAAAGTAGAATTTTGACAAGAATAATGTTCAAATTTAGTAAATTCAAAAGTGCTGTGTCCAAATTCCAAAATGTCCAAATTCATTTTAGGAGTATTTCACTCAATGCTTTTGTCTCCCGTTTTTTTTTTTCCTTTCAAATTCAAAGTTTCAATCATTTTATCTTTCATCATATTAATTTATGGTGCAACCGCAAGCCTACTGTATTAAAGATAAACTCCAGTACTGGTAAAAAAAAAAAAAAAATTCTCACAGAATCAAACGAAACTTACACTGAATGTTCAAGATTACAAATAAATGACATGTGCCAAACAATTTTGGAAGAAAATGTATACTGGCTGAGTAATGAGCATAGAAAGACAAGGAAATCAAGATAGTACTAGCCCCGACACCATGTGTGTTGTCCCATATATAGCTTTCTATGTGAGTGCTTGTTACTTTACCAAGACTCGGTCAAATTTATTATGATTTTGATGACTCCAGAACCTTGCAGTGCACACCAATACTTACATGCTACATGATCAACTGTTTCTGGTCCTTTCCACACCTTTTCTTTCACAATGCAATCGCATTACCAGTACTAAAGTTTATCTTTAATTTAGTTATAAAATAATTCCAGTTCTTAATTGTTTTCAAACTATTGGTTATGAACCTTTCCTTCTCTCTCTTTTACTTTCCCCTTCCAGGTGTGTGATATGTATGCTTGATTTCCAATTAAACGACCCCATCCGCCTCCTGCCGTGCATGCACATCTACCACACAAAGTGTATAGACGATTGGTTGATGCGCTCCTTCACGTGCCCGTCGTGCATGGAACCCGTAGAGGCCGCTCTTCTGTCCACCTACGACGACGGACATTAGGAGGTCAATACCAGAGACTTTATAAGAATATATTTTTTTGTAGTCGTCCGAGATGTTTTCTTCAAGAGGGATCTGTATAACGTGTGTAAGTGAGAGGCGTGAGAGCGGTTTCGACGACATTTACATCGAAAACGAATTTGACGATTGAACGAGTAATGGTTCACCATGCAGGTAATAACGCGGAAGTTTTATTGGAATCGGAAAGCTCTTCTAAACGGTCGTGTGATTTGCAACTGTTTGGGAGTAAAACAATCAAGAATCAGAGCATGATTTTTTAACTTCATTGTGCTCCAGTCTCTGCTTATTCCAAAAGTTCACATATATGGAATTATCATTAAAAAAAGGAAAACAAAGAGAATGAACTGCAATCACTGGAGTATCTTTTACCATCAAGATGATTGAATATGCGACGAATGGCCGAGAATATACATGTAAAAGAAGACAAGAAAATACGTCGTCAGTAATGATTTATTTTTCTGATAGGCATTCGAGGTAAAAGTTACAGAGAGAAGGTGATCCTGAGCAACTTCTTTTTTTCTATCTGAGGTTCTTTATTTCTTGAGAACTGGATATTTTGTGCATGTTTTGTACACATTGCTGTAGGAAAAATTATATAGTGCAATTACATGTAGTTATAGTTTGTCTCAGTTCCGAAACTTCTATTTTGTAGAAAACTGCATTCCAACTTTCACCTGTAAAATCTTTTAACCCGTATACTGCTGAGTTATCTCATTGCCATAGGCTTAGTACACGAATGACCCCTGTCCTGTAGGCCGTGGGTTTAAGTTCGATCACTTTTCACGGTTTATCCAGAAATGTTCGCCTCAAACCATTTGAGTTGTTTCCCCGAAAAGTTGATTCAACTAGCAAAAGAGTTTTTGCATGTTTTACATGTACATTTCTGACATCTTTGAGGTGCTTGCAATGGACTGGGTTACTAACATATTCAAATCTATGGATGTTTCTTTCCGGGGGACCTAGTGATATTAAAGTTATTCCATTAATCGGTACTTAATAACGAATGAACCACAATACTTAGAATCCAGTTTGTAAACATGACTTCTGCTATGCCAGGCAAGGCTCAGACAAGCTTTTAAGTTGTCAAAAACAACCTTAATATTTAAAAAGTACATGCTTAAAGTTCAGTTGGTAAACTGGTCTATTGCAGGCGGATATCGGTTGCAAATGCAGAACTTCCCTGAACCGAATAAATCCAAGTAAAAACCCAACATTATATCCGTTATCTGAACCTAAGATCAGTATTAACTCAAGAAACAATATACTCCATCATGCTCTGTAATCCCAGACCTTCCTTTCAATGAGTAAGTGATCATTGTGCATTGCTATACATGCAGTTCATTGGCGACATACCAGGGAAAAAATTAATATCTATTTTTCGGGGGCTACTTTTCAACCGTGCCTGCATGAAAATAACATTCTAAAAAAAAATTTGCATTGACTCTACCCAAATTTAAGGGGGCTCTTTTCTGATTTTCGGGGGCTCTTTAGGGCATTTCGGGGGTTATTTCGCCCTGAGCCCCTGTGTATTTTTTCCACTGCGACATACTGTTGCGAGGCAAGCCAAGCCAAAAATAGATGCACCGTGCATATTTCAGATTATAAACATATTGTCTGTCCAGAGCCAGAATGGTGTTAACTCTGTGTTAAGAGTACATGAGCTTAAAGCCCCTCCGGCACCAAACAAAAGATATGCTGTATACAGGTCAAGTTCTACAGTTGGTTGAGAGGAAAATCCTGGAACAAAAGTATGTTTTGGAACAAAAGTATGAGCTACAGTATGAGGAAGAGAATGATGCTTATTTTTGGCTCTAAGCATTGTGATTTTTGTTGCTGACCCAATAATTCATTCTGTTGGCTGTGGAAGTTGATTTACTCCTGGCTCAGAAGTGCTTAGGACTATTTTTTTCCCCAGGAAGATGTGATTACCGGTAGTGAACATGTCAAAGAAATAATTGTTAGGCACTGGGCACCTCATGACCTTATGATTTTTTTCTTCTCTTTTTAACTGAAGAAGTGGCCGGACCTCCAGAAACCATTCCATATACATGTAGTTTAATTCAAACAAACAAACAAAAACAAAAAATGTGGAAACTGGAAAGGGGGAGAGTGGGGGGGGGGGGGGGGGGGGGGGTCGAAGGATAAATTGCAATACATTTGATTCATTGAGAAACATAACAGGATACTCTAGGTATATGGAACTGATAAGCCAAATTAGCAGAATTGCAAACTTCCTCTTTAAATGAAGACATGTATCTAAGGTACATGTACAATATAAAGCCTTGATCAGAAAGTAATGTAATGGCAGTGTGGTACATGTACATGTAGGTGTTACAATATTCTGCATATTCTGAAATTAGTTAATGTACTTAAAAACAATTTTTTTTTAAAACTTAAGACCAATAGTATTATGTTTAATATTAAATATTATTGGAAAAAAATTATTTTGTAACTCCTACAGGAAATTGCTAAATTGTAAGATTTGGAAAAGCTTCATTTGCATCATATATAGTGTCAAATTGACAAGGTTGAAATGTACAAACATGCAATTACTTGTAAATTTATCAATATTGATACACACAAAACTCCAGGAAATAAATCAAGTGTTAAAGGTAAAGACCAGTATTGGTAACGCCCCAATTTCAAAAAATGAAATGGAAGCTCTCATTACCAATCATGTGAAAGAATATGTTTTGACTAATACATGATGATAAAAAATTTGCCGGGAAACCGCCTACTAATTCATATATTTGGTAAATTTATCTCTCTCATGGTCGTGTGAGAGAGATAGGGTAGTCCCATATACATCTTTCTGTGTATAGTGCTTGTAACTTTACGAAGAATGGGCCAAATTTCTTATCATTTTGATGATTCCAGAACCTTGCAGATGCTAGATGCTAGATGATCAACCTTTTCTGATCGATTCCACAACGTTTCTTTCACAATGCAATCGCATGACCATTACTGGTCTTTACCTTTAACTTTGGGTGTGTGTTTCTGTAATTTTACCAAATGTAAAATGCACATGCACAATAAAGTAATTATACATGTAGTTCTACAGGAGCAACATTATTACACTTGTATGGGTAATCCATTTTAGATACCGTAATGGGTTTTCGATATGGATTTGGATTGGTGATTTTTTACATGTAATGTCGTTGATATTTGCCAAAGTTATTAAGGACATATAATTTGTACACTACAGTGTATATCCTTGTTAAAGTATGCTTTGCTGTAGAGTCATTAAGCGTTGATTACTTCAGAAAGTGAAACCTGACCAGGGTACTACATGTAGTAATTAGAAGTAATATTTATCATGTGCCTTCTTGTATTGCACATGTCGGTTGGCCATTCAAATTGTAATGTAAGCTTCTTCATTTTGTTTCCTCAGTTTTATTCCTCTTTCAGTCCTTGGTTTACAGTGACAGTATCTGTATCAATCCTTTTGTGACAGTCATTTCACAATTTAGGGTTTGGCTCAATAACTTGCAGACAGAGATTCAGAGCCCTAAGAAATATATGCCAGAAGCAGGAGTACCGGTAGGAAGCAAAAATGTCTGCATACATTGCATTCATTGTTGTTTCATGATTATATTGCATTCGATGTTCGGAGTTTTAAAGGGAAAATAAGCTTTAAAATCCTTAAATTGACAGCACAATGAGATATTAAAAATCATTGTTTTTTCTATCAAAATTGGCCACATTGTTTTCAGAGACAGTAGATTTTTATTTTTAACAATGGAGCAATAAAATAAAAATATTATTGTTGCCAATTTGAAGAATGGTATGTGATCAATTTAGGCCTAAACATAAATCCAGTCCCGAAAGGGTTAATAAGTATGTGTCTGGAATGATTTTTGCAGAGAAATAGTTTTGGTGTTTTGAAAAGTCAGAGCTACAGATAAATGGCAATTAATTGTCTGCTTGTATCGTCATGTAAAATAGCCGAATACTGTTGATCAAGATCTACCTGTACAATATGTCATTCATGTATTTTTTTGTATGAACAGAGGCTCGAATACGCTTTACTGATGTATGCTTACATGTACAGTATGTCGCGATGCACAAAAGACATGAATTACACTTTGTTTTTAAAGTCGAAAGTTCATTAGGAGCGAAGATAAATGCTGATTTCAAGGAAACATGTTTCATGGAGAATTTTGCATACTGGTAATACTAAATTATTATCCAGCGCAGGATAATAAATTACTGGTACCCTAAAAATGTGCCCACAATGTACAAGATTGCTATTGCTATTTTTAATAAAATCATTGTTCCTTGTGAAATGCCCGGTGAATGTTTGTGTTAAGTAAGAGGCAAGGTGTTACAGGCACAAGCTAAACTCTTAAATTGAATCAATGGACATATTGGTATGGAAGTAGTACCACTTATTGTAGACTTAAAGTTATTGACAAACTTATTTTTTTCTTCATTTCCATGTTAAGGGAGTATGTAAACAGTTTCTCCACCGGCAAATCCAAGAATTCTTACATGCAAAGTGTTTTCATGTATAAAAACCTGGGCATCGTTTCATAAAACCATATCATACATGTACATTGTAACTACAAGCTCACAGACATCCTCTTCAAATGCTTGTTTAATTTAACATGCACGTTCCAATGAGATGTCGGCGACCTTGCGCTTACATGTACATGTATGACGAGTGTTGTGAAACGCTGCCCAGGGTAGTTTGTCTGGTTCCTGCTAACCAAAGAAAGTGTATGCAGGATACACCATGTCTCTGGTACATGCATCATCAAAGTAGTGCCCTTAGAGGAAGCCCTTCGAAGTAAACAATGAAAAAGGACATTGTCATGGAATGACTAAGCACTCGTCACGTAAAAGTTTGTTTTTGTGGACTTTAGCATGAGCTACATTATCATACACTCAAACAGTATGGTAAATCTGGGGGGTGTTTCACAAAGATCTAAAAAAGACTTAAAAATTATGGAAAGCCGTTAGCATCTATGAAAATACTTTGTAAAGGTTATTTTATAAGGCATAAATTCATAACTCAAATCATTCATATTTTCTGTTATCAAGGAGATTTCATGATCTTGATGTGGAATTTATAAAAAGTCTAAAATACTTGAATTTTTGCTTTTGCATATACTTTATTTTAAGGGTTCAAATGGCTCTCCATAATTTTAAAGTCCAACTTAGAGTTAAGTTTGACTTAGGATCTTTGTGAAACACCCCCCCCAGTTGGTGTAGAAATGGAACCGTGTGTACTCAAGTGTACATACATGTACAGGGTACATGGTAATGTTCAAACATGCTTCACACAAGGCATATGCATTGGAGTCATAAACTGAACCAGTTTCCATTTTTACATGTTCTATTTTTAGGTAAAGAAGTATTGTGAGAGGTATTTCACCTTCAAAGTTTCTGATTGACAAAATAATGGATAATCATATAGTGTCCGTACTATAGCGAAGAAAGAGGTCGGTAGGTGACGTGTATTTTAAAGGAAAAACAGATCATTTCGGAAGTATACAGCTGTGATATAGAAAGTGGCCTTAAGGTATTATATTTTGTTCTTTGTTAAAACAGTATTTTTTTTTCTTCTTCAAGTTTTGAATAAATTTAGC